GGCGGGTGCGCTGGCGAAACGGAGAGGGATCTTGCGTGTGAACCGTACTTGCTTCTCCCGCCCTCCTCCCCGCCCTCCCCCGTCCCCTCTCATCCCCGGCGCGCGCTTCGGCCCCTCGGCCCGCGGCCCGAGCGTATGAGTGCCCGGCCCCCGAACGTCTTTTCATGAATGAATCGTGTATACGAGGCGCCGTAGTGCGGGGGCGTGGGGTGCCCCCCCCCTCATTTAGGTGGCCGGGCGCCAAGTCGGACAGGCGCCGCCCGGGTGGCGCCCCCTCCACCTCTTCTAGTTGTTCTACTCGAGTGTCGCCTGCCGGGAAGTGTCTCTCCTCCGCTGACGTATGATCCTGGCTGGTGGATCCTGGATCCGCATCCTGCTGGAGCTGGAGTCCTTAATTAAGATTGCGAATCTGGACCCACCTGAGAAGTTTACTTGGAGTTAAGATCCTTCCAACCAGGCCCTATAACTGGATTTATTTAAACTTTTGCAGCCCGGATCAGTTTCTCGGTCCTGGATCTGGCCCTGCACACTAGATCTGTATCCTAGCCTTTGACATAGGATGGCGCTCTAGCACCATCCTCCTCCACACGCCCTCTATTCTGGAGCAGGAGAGTCCTGGAATCTCCAGGGAGGACGCTATCCAGGACAAGATCAACGCCGCCGACATCCTGCCGTTCCTCCCGTAGCGCGGCAGTCGGCGGCCTTTCCCGCAAAAAAAAGCTTTCTGAATCACCCGACGGGCTCCCAGTGCAGGAGGGGTGACCGGCCTGGAGAGCGCCCGGAGCGCCTGGAGCAGCGCCCTGGAGTGAGTCAGGTGGCGGCAACCCGAAATTCCTTCTCGGCCGGGGCCTGGGGCGACTGTAACTGGAGCGCGTTCGCCTGGAGATACGTGGCTGTGACGACCGGCGCAGGCCAGCCAGTTTTAGTTTGGGGCGGATCATCTTTCGCGGAACACCCCGGAGGGGCGCCTCAGCGGACGCCCCGGGCTCTGCAACACCTGCTCGGCCACAACCTTGTGCAACATTTGTGAAGCTTGGCGATATGAGAAGAAGCAACGCTTAACTTCTCGGAAGATCTTATCTTATCGTTAACGTTTGGGATAGATTATCATTTTTTAAACATGAGTAGAAGCAAAAGCAACGACAAATATAAATTTGAAAATAACATAAAATAGATACATTTGGGAAAAAGAACGTGTAAAACTTTTTGACTTTATTTTTAAAATCTGCAAGAGGCGTTTGAACTTTGCACCTCCAACACCCTGGACGTGTTCTCTGTATATCGCAGTACGTAAAATCTCAGTAAAATTGAAGGTTTTAAAAGTTTCAAAATACTCCCCCAAACTTACACGGGGCCCATAGGAATCCCACATGGTTAATTTAGAGCGATCAAAAAAATAAAAATAATTGTCAATTGAAACCACACAGGTTGTCAAAATTTCGGTCCTCTTTCGGAGGACTGTCCGATTTCTGGCCTTCGAAGCGGCCAAAAGTTGGACTTCGCTTAAAAGGAAATTATTGGATAGCAAAGCTGCCAAACATTCTACTATACTACATACTACTATGGGTGGGTCTCTAAAAAAGGGCCAAAATTTGGAATTCAAAAAATGATGTCGGAATTGTGGCAAAGCGGGTGGCTCCCGCCCTACTCCGTGCGGCCGCGCAAGTGCACGGCGCTCACACCCACACCTGGCTGGTACCACAGCGGCTAGCCTGGCCCACGCCCATAGGGCCCCCCACGCCCCAGTCAGATGACGCACACCCATACTACTTCCGCACACAAAGTAAGTAGTGAGCGCAAGTCGCGGTCATGTCGACTACGGGATCGCGGGATCGTCAGAATAAAGGAGGGTGAGAGCGAGCAGACACGGGGTGGGCGCGGGCTTGGTGGTGCAGCCGCTCGGGCAGCCGCATCAGGCAGAGCTTAGTGCGAACGCGTGCCGAGGAACGGCCATTCAACGCCGCCAACTTTCGTCGACCGCGCCGAGAAGGCTCAGCAGGTCCCCGCTCTCTGTCTGTCCCCCCCCCCCGCCCCCCGCCCCTCTCTCTCCCGCTGAACTCTTTACCACCGTCCCATTATAATGAACTCGGACATTTCGCTACTGTCCTCCGCGGATGAGTAATCCGGGGAGGGGAAGGGGGAGCGGCCACGCGCTCAGCGCGCCAATGCCGTGCCCCCTCCCCCCCCCCTCTCAACCTTTCCCCCCCGGCGGGGGGTCTCGCTCGGACGTCGACCGTATACGTCAAGCGCGGCGGGAAGGGAACAAGCGAAAAGTATTATAATACGGTAAAACAAAAAGCAATAAGCGGGCTTCACTTTAACAGTGTACGATGACTCTCGTCATTCCTCGAGCCGCCTGCACGTGACCACGCCGGCCTTGCGCAATGAGCTCTCATTGAACTCCGTCAAAGTGACAATAATTTCAAATTATTGATTTCGCTCATAATTGTTGTTGCGTACTTGGTTTTGTTTCTTGCCTTTCGAAAGGATTGCGCATCATCACGCACAACGCATTTTATTATTATTTTTTTTCAAATTTTTTGACGGGGAAAGGGGGCCGAGGTGGTAGAGGGAAGGCCGAGGGGGAGGCTTGGGTTGCGTGGTGAAGACATCTTGAGGTATGCCCTATTTTCCGCCCTTCGGCGAGGATAGGACGGTGGCGTTGCCCAGGACGTCAGTGTTTGTGTACGGGCAGGAATGCAGAGACGGGGAGGATTGGGGGGGGGGGGGTGGTGGTAGCAGTCGTGGAGGGAGGTTTAAGGGCGCGTAGAGCTCCAAGGGGAGCTGGACGCGGGGTCCCGGGTGGTGGAGAGGTGTAGGTGCCGCAGGTGGCCTGCCTCCTGGGGCAGTCTAGCTCCCGCGTCCTGGGGATCGTGGGCGTGAACGACGTACTACTGCTCCCAGGGCGAGATCTTCGGTGGACGGAGGACGGGGTCCTCAGGATGGCTGAGGGTGCGAGTCCCCTGGTGGTGGTGGTGGTGGGCGCCGTGGTCTCGGGGCGACGTTGGGTCACGGGTGCAAAGACCTCGTCTCCGGCCCCGGGGGTCGAAATAAGGTCCATGACGGCGGAGGTCGGGCACCCGGAGAGAAAATTGAGGAGGGACGGGGTGGTAATCGTCAAGGGGTTGCAGCCCAAGGGGAAGCTCAGAGGAGACGAAGGTGGAGGGCTGGGGCCCGCGGGGACGCGCTGCCGTTAGAAGTGGAATTGCAGGCACGTCCTGTACCCCCGCGCAGCTGGTGGGCGCGTGTGCGGTCGGAGAGGGGGGGGGGGACCTCGTCAGACCATGACGCCGTCAAAGGGTTGTTTCCGACGAACGAGCCCCGCGTGATGCCCATAGCGCCAGCGCCCCATAGGATGTAGGCCTTCCTGCGCAGAGCGCGCTCTGTGCTGCGCGCCTCCCCCCGCTGCTGCTGACGTCACCACGTCACACAAGATGCAGCGACATTTTCGTAATTGCGCTCGAGCCTGGGGGGATCATCGCTCTCTCTATCGCACTTACGATTATTATTGCGCAACCGGAAACAAACCGGAACACCACCGTCTCGTTTTTGTTTGCAAACACACTGGTCTTCCCCCTGCCGTGCCTGCAATCTCTCTCTCTCTCTCTCTCTCTCTCTCTCTCTGGCCTACACCCACACATCCAGCGCGCCGTCACATCCCATCCCTCGCCTGTTTGCCGAAGGGCTTTGCGTTCCTCTCGCTCTTTTCAACGCGCTCATTATCGGCAGTCGGGCGGCCTTATTCGCACGCCAGGCCCGGCGGACGGCGCTGGCAATAACGCCCCTCTCAGGCGGACGGGAAAAAAGTGCTCGTCGTCCTGGGCAAAAAGTTAAATTGGCTACAATAGTTGCTCATCGATAAAAAAAAACCTTTAAATCTGGTGAAACCCGTTTAACATTATTTCAATTATTCCATTTCTTTCACTGATATTTTAAATTTTGTTTATTGAAACAAAGCTTCAATTGCATCTCCAATCATAGGAGACATTAAAAGGTTATCAATCTGGCCTGTTAATGTCTGCTTCACAACTTGTACAGCACGTACAGCTTGTATAAGGTACATAGACTGGTGTGTTTTTGACGAGTCATCATGACTGGGTCCTCTCGCGTTTCTCGTGGCGGCACGGGGGACTGTCTCGCACTTTGCGAAATGCGTAGCGGCGGCGGCGCGTGTCGGGCGCACGGTGGGGTTTTCGAGTGGCGAGTTTGCGTTGCATCTCGCAGCGACAAGGGGAGCGAGGTGGGGCGGGGTGTGGCGAGGTGGGGCGGGGCGGGGTTCCCGCGCGCCGCTGGGGCCCGAGGAGACCCTGGCATCACCCGGGTCAAACGCTGACGAAGCGTGAGCGTGCCGAGGTGGTGGGGCGCAGCGCAGCGGCCTCAGCCTCCCAGACGGGCAGACGCCATCATCGGCCGGGGGAAGAGAAAGAGAGAGAGG